GTGTGACAAGCTACCCACATTGCAGTGAAGAAGTTTTACTCAATATATCTCTAAGTGAAACTCCATCTAGATTGCCTTGAGATTAGGCCTAGCAATCCTAGACACGCCCCCATGAAATTAACACGAATTCAACACAGATTTAATGGGATTAGGTGTAGCCTTAACGTGTTCGAATAGTTAATGAATTAACTCACTAGGCCCGTGAAATAAACGAATCAGTTTCGTATTTCACCCATAAATTTGTTTCAGCCGTTTAATCAATTAATAGTGGCATTATAAATTTCAAAAATAAAAATAAGTCTCGGTCTCTCTCATGCCTTCCATCTCTCAAACTCGAATTTAGTAATAATTTAATATTTATTTGTTATCTTTATTTTTTTACTCAGTCATAATTCATTGTTACAATAAATAGGTAAAGAATGTGTAATCTGTGGCAAGTTAATGTGACTCGAAATACTCCAACCGATTTAATGTGATTTGAAATTTTTTTTGACATAAACTCGTTGCACTCGATTTGAACTATTTCAACCTAAACAATTGGAAGGCCTTATTGAGATATTGTCAACTTCAAAAGATTGGCCAATTATGTGTTGGGTGTGAATCCAGCCCAAGTGAGATGGACCTACAGCAACACCAACACAAATTTGCAAAATCTAAAGCCGCAATTTTTGAGCACATAATCAGGAGCTCTAAAAGGTGAATGGATGCACCAAAATTTTGTACAGGAAAAAATTGTTATAAAAGAAAAAATTCTCAAATCATGACCCTCGTGTCAATTAAGTTCTTCATTTTTTATTTTTTTGTCATTTGAACTTCTAAATTCTCTAATTTTATCAATTGATATAAAACAAATTTAAGGACTTAATTGACACATGGATTATAATTTGAGAGCCATATATATAATTTAAGTCATGTGTTTAAATTTCGTAATCATCCTCTATTATAATAATATCTAACCAAAATAATAATAATAATAATAATAATCTTACCCGAGTCTATCTACCATCAATCATAAATATCGCCTATTGTATATGGACGCCGTTGTGGTAAAAAGTTTATCAGAAATTTTTAAATAAAAACATAATTTGTCAAAAAAAAAAAAATTAAGTATGTTTAAATATTATTTTATGAAAATAATGTAAGTGGGGTTTGATTATAAAGGGTGTTGGTGTAATTACATAAATTGATAAGTAAAGTATAAAATAATAAAATTTAAATCGTGGGTATCTCGTTTTCTTTAAAGAGATTCAAGCCTTCTCAGATGGCAAAACTCAAATCTGATGCAGCATACTTTTTCATTTGACTTGTCTCCTCTAGGATATAAGAACTCAACTGTTTCATTGAATGATACTAACCATGCACAAGTGGTTGAAGCAAAAGTTACACCATATAAACATTTTTGTGTGTACTCAAGTGTGTGTAGTATGTTACAAAGTGTTGCAATGTATTGGATGATGTTCCGTATGTTTATACTACTTCTAAAAGTGGCTTAAGGTGAAAATTTTTTAATTTTCTTATTTTCCCTTTAAGAATTCTATAATGTTAAACATGTCATATCATCNTAAGTATGTTTAAATATTATTTTATGAAAATAATATAAGTGGGGGTTTGATTATAAAGGGTGTTGGTGTAATTACATAAATTGATAAGTAAAGTATAAAATAATAAAATTTAAATCGTGGGTATCTCGTTTTCTTTAAAGAGATTCAAGCCTTCTCAGATGGCAAAACTCAAATCTGATGCAGCATACTTGTCTCCTCTAAGATATAATAACTCAACTGTTTCATTGAATGATACTAACCAACTCTGCACAAGTGGTTAAAGCAAAAGTTACACCATATAAACATTTTTGTGTGTACTCAAGTGTGTGTAGTATGTTACAAAGTGTTGCAATGTATTGGATGATGTTCCGTATGTTTATACTACTTCTAAAAGTGGCTTAAGGTGAAAATTTTTTAATTTTCTTATTTTCCCTTTAAGAATTCTATAATGTTAAACATGTTATATCATCTTATATTTAACTCTTAGACTCTTCNCAATTTTCTTATTTTCCCTTTAAGAATTCTATAATGTTAAACATGTCATATCATCTTATATTTAACTCTTAGACTCTTCAATTTCTAAGAGTAAAAACTCTTGACCTTCAATTTTGTTTATTCACTTTTATCTATTTGTAAGATTTTAAAATTTTTAAATCTTACATTACTCTTTAAAAAATTTAAAGACTACTATGTATCATTTAATAACTCCATTAACTACTTTCTACAACATGATATCCTAAAAGTCACTTGTAATTGATAATAGCTGAAAATTCAAGTTCTACACTTTAACAGTTCCATATCAATAAGGCAGACCAAAAGACAGATGAAAATGTAAACAGTAAATTCCAATCAAATACATAGCTATCCGATGGAAATGACCAAAAGGAAGTCCAATTGGTTGCACTTCTTCCAAAGTTTTAGAATCTCTCTCACTTCCAAAATAATTCTCCCTATGTAAACTTTGGTGTATTCAATTCATGCTTTTAACTCTTGTAATTGTAGACTAGATAAAATCCCCTTCAATATGAAGGGTCTTCTCCTATTTTTTCCATGGTACTCTAAAATGCTTTTGGAATTGTTATTTTTTCATGTCTATCATGCTAACTAACCCCAATATGTTGTTGCAGGGAAACACAGATGTATTGTGTTATAATATCACTTAAGGTGTAACTACTACAAGGTATGTGATGGAAGTACTTAAAATATGTTAAGTCTATGAATTATACATGTAGCCAAAATGATGAAAGAAAAATTTGGGTGCAGTGTGGATTTGCTTCTTGGATTTATATATCGAGTAAGACAGTTTTCATTAAAAACAACTCATAATATTCACTGTAATTTTTGTTCATTTTGTAAAGTACTGCTGTCTGAGAGGCTATTAAGAAAAATGACCTAATAACTTTGCATGATAGAAAACAAATTAAAGTAATTTAGTAGTATACATTGGGAGACAACTCTTGTTTGTTTACATAATGACGTAAAATTGCCTATAGTTGTAGTTCCAAAGTAATTTTGATGGTGTTAATCTTCTCTTCATTTAGTGGATTTGATGATTCAAACTTTTGTTTTATTAACAATAGCTAATTTGGTAACTTTTGTTTCTTGGCGTATACTATCTTAGTACAAGTAATTACAATGCAATGAAAAAAACTGCATAGAATGCTCTTATGCTAACTCTGGAATCTCAAAGGGCAGCCCCTTAGCTGTTGACATGGAGAAGGGTGAAAATTGTTTTTGTTTGATGCTTCCTTTTTCGTTTGTTTGACAAGGTATAAGTTTTCTCTTCTTTTTAATCACTATCTTGACTTTGCTTCGTAGAAGAGAAGAAACAAAATATGAACACTGCTCACCTATCCAGGGAGTAATTAAATGTCATACTTGTTTAGGTATAGTACTAATATCCGTCCCATTTTTATATTTCTATTCATGTCGTGTCATTAGGTGGGATATCGTATAAGAGAAGTCATTCGCTGTGAATCATATTATCATACTTAAAATGTGAAATTTGTATGATTGTAGTTTGATTGAAGGATTCACATTTTTTAGCTGCTTTCGAGGTAAAGTTTTCTCTTATCATTATTGTAATGATGTCAATTGTTCATATGATTGGACGGATTTTAATTTTTTGCGCTTGAGCAAGCATAGCTAATAGATCACCTATGTATTTGTAATTTGAGATGGATTTGGTAGGGGTAATANGTATGATTGTAGTTTGATTGAAGGATTCACATTTTTTAGCTGCTTTCGAGGTAAAGTTTTCTCTTATCATTGTTGTAATGATGTCAATTGTTCATATGATTGGACGGATTTTAATTTTTTGCGCTTGAGCAAGTATAGCTAATAGATCACCTATGTATTTGTAATTTGAGATGGATTTGGTAGGGGTAATATTTGATGGTCGAATATATTAATGCTAAATTTTCTACTGTGAAAAATTAAGTTATTAAGTAATTTTAACAAAATTTATGAAGGTGATCTATGGACGAAACTAATAGACTTTTAACTCTCAACAAAGATAATAGTTAAAGAACAATTACTTTATTCGATGTAGGAATTCTTAAAGAGTCAAGAAACTGTGTATAAAATAACAAACACATAGTTTACTCAAATNAGTAATTTTAACAAAATTTATGAAGGTGATCTATGGACGAAACTAATAGACTTTTAACTCTCGACAAAGATAATAGTTAAAGAACAATTACTTTATTCGATGTAGGTATTCTTAAAGAGTCAAGAAACTGTGTATAAAATAACAAACACATAGTTTACTCAAATGGTTTGATATAGGACTATTTATTTTATGAAGATCTAAATTTTGAAATATTTGATAATAATAAAGAATATTTAATACTCAAAATAGGCTATGTGCATTACACGTGTGCAACAACTATTATATTTAATTGCATTAAAGGTCCTATATATAGCCTCTTAGAAGTATCTAGAGTTCATGTATACACAAAATAAATGTATGTAAGTATACATTTATGTAATAATAATCAATTTATGCATATAACTCATACATCAATGTACATTGGTAAAGTTCATGAATATAGTTTATACATATATTTAATAAATATGGTTCATGAATAGAAGTAAATAAGAGATACATATATGCATCAAGTTTATAATTATATATGTGCATTNATCATACATCAATGTATATCGATAAAGTTCATGAATATAGTTTATACATATATTTAATAAATATGGTTCATCTATAGAAGTAAATAAGAGATACATATATGCATCAAGTTTATAATTATATATGTGCATTATACATTTATCTAATAAACATAATTCATGCATCAGAATAAGTATGCTATATGTATCGCTACATCCATATGTACAATATATCCATATAAATAAATGAATTCATATTAATACAATAAATTATATATTAATCTTTGTAGAGCTGTACGGCCATTATACCCGCTCATTTCATAACCAACTTCAATTCTCTCTCGCTCTCTATTCAAGATCCGAACATCTCTCGGTCCAAGCTTCCTCTCCATCACTCACTTCTTCCTCTGCAGTTTGAGCTGAAACCAGGGTAACCCAAAACATGTCACTGTCACCAGATTATGAAAACAAACTGATTGATTCGAACCAAATGAGCTCTACTCACCATCGCCTGCAAATCGGCCTCACCAGCCTCAGAAGCTGTGTTTCTTGGTTGTTCATCACCATTTTAGTCCTCTATGTCCTCTACTCTTCCAAATTTGTACTCAACACTGATGGCCCCAACTGTTCCTTACCCTCATCATTGGACATCTCCACCAAAGAAAATCTAGAAACCATCCCTCTTCTCAAGAACATTTCAATCACACCCACTGATCAACAAAAAACTTCAATACCCATTATTCCTCCGAAGTCCCTACGATTTGATACTGATCTTAAACACATTGTTTTTGGCATCGCTGCGTCATCGAATCTGTGGGAGAAAAGAAAAGAGTACATAAAGCTATGGTGGAGGCCCGGGAAGACCAGAGGAGTAGTGTGGTTGGATAAGAGAGTGAGTACCAGAAGAAATGAAGGGTTGCCGGAGATTAGAATCTCCGGCGACACCTCCAAGTTCAAGTACACGAATCGGCAGGGAAAGAGATCGGCGTTGAGGATTTCGAGGGTGGTCTCAGAGACTTTGAGGCTTGGATTGAAGGATGTGAGGTGGTTTGTGATGGGTGATGATGATACAGTTTTCATAGTGGAAAATGTGGTGAGAGTGCTTTCTAAGTATGATCATAACCAGTTCTATTACATTGGGAGTTCTTCAGAGAGTCATATTCAGAATATACTTTTTTCATATTCGATGGCTTATGGTGGTGGTGGGTTTGCGATTAGCTATCCATTGGCGAAGGAGTTGGAGAAGATGCAGGATCGGTGCATTCAAAGGTATCCTGGATTGTATGGAAGTGATGATAGAATGCAAGCTTGCATGGCGGAGCTGGGGGTTCCACTTACCAAAGAACCTGGTTTTCATCAGGTAAGACTTGAAGTATATGCAAACCAAGACTAGTCAATGATTAAACTGTTTTGAGTTTTTGAATTGGAGTAAACCTGTTTGTTAATATGTCAAAGTGGGTCTGTCGAAAACCATGAAGTTTGTACCCTCCTGTACCCATGTTGTACAAGATTATCCTTTTTTTATTTATTTAGGCACAATTTTAAAACGTGTTAATACAATAAAGTTTCACACTTGCTTATATACTAAATACACACTTTACCGGGTGATGTGGGATATGAAAAACCATTATTTACCTCCTTTTAATTCCAAAAGGTTATTTTCCGGACCCATCTATATAGCCCGATGATGTGACCTTTGGGGATGATTCCCCTCACCCCACTGGTCTGCCAGACTGGGGAGCACNGGTTATTTTCCGGACCCATCTATCTAGCCCGATGATGTGACCCTTGGGGATGATTCCCCTCACCCCACTGGTCTGCCAGACTGGGGAGCACTAAGGTATGNAGTTATTTTCCGGACCCATCTATATAGCCCGATGATGTGACCTTTGGGGATGATTCCCCTCACCCCACTGGTCTGCCAGACTGGGGAGCACTAAGGTATGCACAAATTGTGTGGCCTTGTAACGCTCCATATTCGTATTGTGAAACGAAGATATAAACTCATATTTATATACCACTTTACACGCATTTATCACTTCACACGCATTTTAACATGCGAAATGAAATCTGGGTCATCACAAAATTGATAATTGTCATGTCTTGTGATTTTTGCAGTATGATGTGTATGGGAACCTCTTAGGCCTTCTGGGAGCCCATCCTGTATTTCCACTGGTGTCACTCCATCATCTTGATGTGGTGGATCCGATATTCCAAGGCATGACCAGAGTTCAAGGCCTCCGACGCCTATTTGAATCCATCAAGCTCGACTCAGCTAGTATAATTCAGCAATCCATCTGTTACGACAAGAAGAGGGACTGGTCCATTTCTGTTTCTTGGGGCTATGTTGTCCAAATCATAAGGGGAGTGATCTCTCCCAGAGAGCTAGAGATGCCCACAAGAACCTTTCTTAATTGGTACAAAAGAGCAGATTACACAGCATATGCATTCAACACTAGACCTGTGAGCAGACAACCATGTCAGAAGCCCTTCATTTTCTACATGACCTCATCTAAGTATGATCAAGGTAGGAAGCAGGTATTCGGGGTTTACTCTCTCCATAGAGACCGATACCCTTATTGTCGGTGGAAATCAGACTCACCTGAAAAGATCAATTCCATTGTTGTCTTGAA